ATAGGACATTTATAGTCGCTCTATCTGCACTTGCACTTATTTGGTTGAGCTGTTTGATTTCATTGGACACGCAATGCTTTGAGTAGTGGTGCATTCATTATTAAGTAGATAGATATCTTTGTAGTTTTCTTATTATAAATTACTCACACACTTAATGAAAAACAGCAACTAGGTATTATGTTTAAATCCACTTTGAATCATTTTATGAAATAGTAACAATTCTTAAAAAAGACACAATTTAAAATCTTAAGTAGTATATAATGAAAATGACATCAATCAGTCCGTTTACAAGATGATATTCATATAAATACAATATACTTAAAACCATTCCAGGTGCCTAACGTCTAGTGAGAAGCCGACCACAAAGTGCAATACCCCCTTGTGGTCCAAGTCATTATAATGTAACCACAACACAATTTGACTGTATGAATGTACCCAGTAGATATATTTTCAATTACACTATGTATACCTTACTAAGGCCGCGGTAAAAAGATTATTGTAAACATTGTCCTTGTGTAACAAACATGTCAAAGTCGAGAGATACTCGTTATTATTTGATTTGATTCTATATTTTATAATTTAATTTTCAATCACGTAGGTTACAATGTTTCAATCACAGTACCGTCTAGTATTTTGGGCAATAAAGCCTTCTCATTACTGAGTAATGATTTTTTTATTTAGTATAATAATGTAACAATACGGATACAAGTTCACGGAGTAGGCAATGTATATTATATTGACTACGCACCCACGTTTCTCCAGTTATATTTTTAATCCGATTATAATAGGGAATGACTCGAATACTCGACTAACAAGGCAGTTAAAGTATCTGCATCCTGGCTAAAAATCAAAAATATATACGGCAATGACTACGTATTTTGGTTTAAAACATTTTAATCAATTTGTCTACAATAGGTATTGAATTTTTATAAATGCACACTTCTATAAAAAGTCACTAAAGACTTCTTGGTTTTCCTCTATTAGAATATTATACAATCCAAAAAATGTGCATATTATGATCAGCGGTGTCACGGCCACAACAATTACGGGTTCATATTAATTACTTATGATCTCAACTGCGTTTAACAATAATAAAAGCCATTATATCTTTTCAACAGATTGTTTCTTTAATTGTACTCACGATATAAGTATAGATAAACAATCAGCAATTTGCTTCAATTGTTTTTATAAAAGTTCTCGTAATATATCATTCTCGTGTTGCGTAATATTATGGTGTATATGCTTCCTGTTTTACGAAAGATATATGATGCAGCTTTACAGAATCGAGGCGATCCAAAGCAAACTTTCTAGCTACCTGACTTTGTGATTTATTGTCAAATTTCGTAACTATTAGATTATAGAAATATGCAAAAAAAACCTTCACTTGCCCCTAATTGCAATTGCGCTTAGTGATATCTTAAATGAAGTAATAATCCTCTGAAGTTGTAGATCAGATAAATGCAGAAATATCACCCAAGTTCAACGTATTTGTGTTCATAAATCAGTTATAAATAGCATAACACCTCCCCTTAACGCTTGCACACTTTATTTTCAACATTAAAGTGCAATATTGTGCCACTGTTTTGCACTTTATCGACGATAAAACTTTTACGTAGTTTGCGTATAGCTCGGGGGTGTTCGCATTTAGGCCGTATATTGTCGTAAAAGGAAATAACAGGAACTGCTTCAAGCACACTAAATACTCGTAAATAGTCACATTTCATGGCATTACGCAAATGGTACCATTTTACTGAAGTTCGATATACTATAGTACTATGCACACACGACCCATACCCTTGCAAATTTAATTAATGATCAGATTACAACACGTCAAATGGCTGCCATTACAAAGCGTCTCTCATGCTATAATATACATAATGGATAACTAATTCTAGTTCCGGTTTAACCATTAAGAATACATAACGTCTGTCAAACATTCTTTACGAGGTTATTATACCGGTTTCGTACATAATATTCTAGACTCGTGAGATATGACTGCGTAAAACTAAAAATATGGCTGCGAAGAAATTCTTTTTAAAAATCTGTGGTTACAACACCGAACGCAGTATATTTGAATGCATAAAATATGCATCAGTAACGAAATCTTGTCTACTTTATGAAAATCCTTATTAATCCTTAGCTGAAACTCCTTAATTACCACTACACTATGATGCGAAAACCCGAAAAAATAAAATTGTCCAAAATTATTCCATTAATCACTTCGATGCCCTAATAATCTTAAGTTAACGGCCTAACACACCATACTATCATCTGGACATAGCCTAAGCGTTTGTGTCGCTCGCAGTGCTCCAGTTTCGTGCCGGTCCACTGGCCGTCGGTCTTACTGCTTACATCAAGGAAACCACGCCCTACGACAATCTGACACAACTACTCATTGCAACAGCTTTCACGGTATCGAATAGCGCTCAACACTATTATATGTCGCAGGTACTACTTCACAAATCACCGGTTTTATAAAATATTTTTATTATAGCATCCGCGCACACCGTACCGTCAATCATGGGGCGATTTCTTACGGCGCGCGATGTCTAAGAACTGATATTATGGACTCAAGCAACGTTTTATTATTTCAGTTGGAATCAAATTGCAAGAATTTATTCACTGGCAATAAATGACAGAAAAATAATATTTAAGTAAAGGATATCTAATAATAATATTATTATGGTATACTACCATTAAATTCCACAAAATTAAGTTCCGGTACAGTAGTTAAGATCTTAAGGTACACAAACCCCTGAGCGCCATCTACTAAAATTCTTAAAGACTTCCGTCCTTACCTCTACATTCATATATCTAATCGTATTCAGATAATCTTATAAAAAATAACAAACTTAAAAGTCCACGTAATTTGTACAAAAGCAAACTCAACGTACGTCATATAATAGCTGCTTTGTTAAAAATTCGTGACGGATTCTAATGTAAAGTTCAAATTCCGTACTCAATTCTAAGTAACCGTTACAAAAAAAGTAATAGGATTTAAATTCCGAAGTAATATCATTCGAATTGGGTTTACTTATTTCATAATCGATGTTAGTATCGATTATATTGGGCCTAATATCATAACCAGACTTTGTTACAAATATACGTATCACTTTGTTACGATTTAAATGGGCGGTTACATCATTATAATAGTCTTGTTAATGGTTTATTAGTAAAAAGGGATTAATAAATGTCGGACATACTTTCTATTATATTCGATCAGCGTGCACGTTTCGTAAATTAAGAGCAGAGAGGTACGTATATAATTATTTAGAGTAGAAAGGTGCTCATGTAATACGTTAAAATGAACAGGCACATCCCACGTTCTTTTAATAAAAGAATATCGTTACACTAAAGTCGGCTCTATTAAAATTAGTCTCGATTCTAAATTAACAATTCTTTATCGTGTCACCATGTCACCAAGTCAACCTACCTATTTTTTTTTTTTTGTTATAACACGGAACGTTCTCCACATATATTATGTCCTATTCTTAAACATGTTTTCTTTATCATTGACTATTGAGAGACCTTGACATTTCATAACATTTTTTATATCCATGTCACTTTTTCTTCTTGATGTAAATGTTTTATACAAAGTACGTATGTCTGTCATGAGCCGGAAATTAATGTTTTGATGATAGATACATTTGTGTTTATTTTATTTTGTTTTTCAATGGCACTTTATTATCCTGTGACAAGCATTGTTATAATTCTGATAGGACGGCAAGGAAATATATGTCTCAGCAATTTCTGAATCGATGACTGTCCCTTATAATCATCATTCGTTTTAAAATGTCCAAAAATAAGTACACAGACACAACATGCCATTTAGTAATTGTAGTCTAAATAGCACAGCATTCACATAGATTCTATAAATGGTTTCCTATCATTCATTTGTCGTCAGTACAATAGCTGACTGTAGCTAATAAGATTACTAGAATTATTTAAGCTAAGCTAATCTGAGAGATGCTCAATGACCAGTAATTCAAGAATGAATTAGAAAACTGGCTCATCGTTATGCATCGAAGTATGTAATTATAAAATTATGTAATTTTAGATGAGGCATATCGGAACAATTCGCTGTAGAAGGCTAATTGTGGGTGTCGCAACACAATTGTTCCGTGGATGCGCGTGCGAACACCGCGACCTACCTATTGTCTTTTTTGTTTACATCTCTGTTTATATTTACAAGGAGAAAACATATATTTCCAGGTTTTTAAGAAAATTATAAAAATATTTTTTTATGTTTTCGGCTTACTCACGTAATTATTTGACGAGGAACTCGACTAGTTTCAAGCCATGCTAGAGGCTCATATTCATGAGCAGCATTTCGCGACCCGCGATCAATTATGAAAAATTGTCGACCCGACTTTTATACAAGCGTACACTTTAATACGGGACAATGGATACTTCTCCGTACATCAGTTATAGAACTCACATAAAATTAAACATAAGTAAACTTACAATAGAAACTCCCACTTTACGTCATTAATGCCGCTACTACGAATTTCATAAAACATTAAATTTTATATTAAGCGTCGTACTTAGGTACATCTGACCCCAGTGACCCATAAAATACTAGATTTTCGCAGTTCGATCAGTGCTCAAGCAGATACTGACGCCCATGCAGACAATTTGATATGATTAAATCACTTCTTACGTCAGCCAGACTAAGTTGGCAAGTGTTCATGTCCTACATCTAGACAATCGTTTAGAAATCCGGGGAGTTATGCCTAATATTATTCTTATAATATACCTATCTAACAAAATTGACACATTTATCAACAATGAATAACATCAAGAATCCTCCTGTTATTTTCTATTTACACGTGAAAGTTGAATTTCTCGTTTTTCCCTCTTTGGCACAAGAAGTGCTGTCGAGCCGATGATAATAACTGTTGATGATATGTACTATGTACTATATATTTGTTTTTTTATCTATAAGGTATATATCGGTATTACTGTCACCTAGTAATAGTTCCAATGTCTGTTCATTTCAGATGCGGCGGCAGGCTCGGATCTCAGGCGGCGGCGCGCTTGTCGTGCGCACCGCCTCTGCCTTACAAGGTAAACTTCATAATTTTATATGAAAATTAAGTATATATACATATAAAAACATTGTTATTTTTGAAATGGAACTCCTTTTAGTAAACCTTTGAAAAATAAGGCTCAATAAGCAGTCAGGAAACCGTGTTGATGTGTGCTACCGTGTCGCGTGGTAGTGATTATATTTAAACTCATTAAAATTCAAATAAGTAGTTATATATGAATGAAACTGAATATGTAAACGTAAACAAAAAATCAATAAGTTAAAATTATGAGATAAATTAATGTATTGATTTAATTTTATTCAAGTCACACCAATATTTTCATTCATAAAATCTCACTCGTAGCATGATTAGATCAGAACTAAAATGATGACGATTTCCGATCACAACTACGCTTATTTATAATATTTATGGTAATATAAACAAGTATTAAAAGCTTATTTCATAACTTGTATCAAAACATAATTAATCATAATTAATCAGAGGATAGACTTTCTTAAACAGGAACAAAGTGATAATTATATCCTAATTAAAAAAATACTAAGCATTTTTTCTGGACTACGTCTTACAATAAGTGCTATACATAACCATTTTATACATGGTATATTAAAGTATACATATTCTAGTAGAAATCAAGTCTAGATTCTCGAGCTGACTATTCAATATTCAAAGACAGTACCTAGTTTCTAAAGGAGATACCTTCAAGATATGTTAATTTTACTTTTACTTAGCGTTATAATTCTCGTTCAAAGTTTTAACCGTGAATTCGGAAAGGTTAATTTTAAACGGTATCCCATCAGGAACATAATCGATTTATGGAATATACCTCTAGAGTAATTGTAACTGTGAAACCTTTTATTAGGTATTCATGGTTTATTACCTCATAACATAACAACATAACATAACATCACGCCTTTTATCCTCAAAGGGGTAGGCAGAGGTGCATATTATACCACTGTACAATGTAACACCCACTTTTCACTATTTATGTTATGAGTCCCATGTAATAGGGGGTGAGCCTATTGCCATATACCGGGCACAGTTCCAGACTCCGTGCTACTACTGAGAATTTTTTAAAAACCCAGTAATACTTTGCCCGACCCGGGAATCGAACCCGAGACCCCTTGCTCGGCAGTCGCAATTGCGACCACTCGGCCAACGAGGCAGTCTTATTACTTACTTTATTACCTCATACAATTCTTAAATTATATTCTTGAACCTAAACTGTCTTTAATAAACGTAGATCCTTTAGTATCATCCTGAGTCTTCTAAAGTCACTAATATGTATATTGTGTTTCTATTTCAGTTTGGCTGTGGTTGCTGATATTCATATTCCAGAACGAGTTTCGAATATCCCGGTCAATTCAACCAGGTGTGAGTATCTATACATTGAAAAAGCTATACTCCAACACGAAATAACCTTAGCCTTGGTATGATTTTATATAGTGACGCTGGTTATGCAAAAGTTCAGTATTTCAATGTTAAATAAAACACGAGATATTAGAACAGACTCTACTAGATTTCTAATATTAATTTTATCAATCACACGTCTCACTCACGAAATGCACCATAACCAATTTAATTCAAAAGTGTTATTCTTATCAGAACCACTGTTGATTGGGCCAACTGCATTTTTTTCCAATCACCTCTTTATCGTTCAACAAGAAAAAACTTCAGTCAATCAAACTAGAACCAAGTCTATTGTAATCGAAGCTTTATATTGAACATGCCCTACAATTTTTTTGCATTAACCTTTTGTTTATTTTCCAGTATTTGGATTTTGACAACTTGCCCGAAACGAACTTCACGTGCACGGGCAAGGTTATTGGCGGGTACTACGCGGACCTGGAGACCTCGTGCCAGATGTTCCACGTGTGCACGGTGGGCCAGAATGATGAGCCCATGGACATCAAGTTCCTTTGCCTCAATGGCACTGTCTTTGATCAGGTCAGTTTATTGACCTCTCATTTTCCTTTTTATATATTAGTTTATCTTTTCGATATGTATATATCCATATCGGTCATATTATTTAAGTTTTACTAGAGGTATATATGGCTACGACAATATTGAGATTCATTAAGCCATAATTCACATGTGATAAAAATATTCTCTTATTTCAGGAGACAAGAGTGTGTGAAAGAGTAGACGAAGTAGATTGTACAAAGTCTGAAAAGTTCTACAGTTTAAATTTAGAGTTATATGGTAGCACAGCGCCACCTATCATACAGCCAGACCAACAAAAACCTCAAGCACAACCAACTGAACAATCACAACAACATACCAAACCAAATTTAGAAGCTGACCCTTCAGTAGATGATAGTTCTACCACAACACAGGACAAAACTCAGGAACACACTCCAGATGCTACAGATTCAACGGAAGACCCAATCCAAGATATTCAACGTGATGAGCCGAAAGTTCCGCAACCCAACCCTACGCACCAGCCTTTACCATTATCAGAACATGATGAACTTACCGGAGGAGGTACTTATTTTTAGTATAATTATTATAATGTATTTATTAAATCCTATCGCATCCTAAATTGTCGCGGAGAACCTAACGGGTAACCGGGGCTCCGGCTCGACGTGCAGGAGAAGGAACGGGGTGGTTTTTAGTCAGTAAGAGTCTGACACTCCCTCTCGCCTCACCCAGGTGGGAGCAGTCATTCGATGATTTACCCCGGAAAAAAAAATCGCATCCTAAATTAGAAATTGTAGCACGAATTAGTAATAAAGTAAATATATCTATTTCAGAGTACCAAGAAGAAGATGAAGATGCCGACTACGAAGATTACGCTCATCACCCAAGTACAACGACGACACTACCAACAACGACATCGACGACGACTACAACCACCACAACTACTACAACCACGACAACTACTGCCAGACCACCTATAACAACAATATTGCCTTCCACATCCCACCCATCTCCAATACCTCACATAATTTCTTCGCCAACTCCCATTCTATCGTCACTATCTCCTCCTTCGCCATCATATCCACCTTCAGTACCATCCGCTCCGTCAGCACCGTCCGGCTTGTCAGCTCCGTCTGCACCTTCTGCACCATCTGGACCTTCTGCTCCCTCTATACCAACACTTGACCCCTCCTTACTTTCACCACAAGAATTTATCTACCGTCATCGGGGGCCAGGATCTGAAGCTATATCATTTCAACGTCAAAGCTTTCGACCGGCTGATGGAGTTTATATAACACATGCACCACCGCAACAATTCGACCACTTTCAATATGAGTCGTCTCGAACTGCTCCGCGGCCATCAGCGCAGCGTCCCGCTCCCTTTGTACAACGACCTCAACCAGCTCCATTTCGGCCCACCACACTAGATCCTCGTGATCAGTTGCTGCGTCCTGGACCAACTTCTCAATCTTCCGAACGACATGAAACATCTGTTAAACAAAATAGGCCACAAAACTATCCTCAGTCTTTACCAGCGCAAAGACCCTTGCCATTTAATCCATTCTATTATGATCGCAAACGAAGTGACGACGTAGTTCCAGAAACAGCATCTGCATTATCAGCACGATCTGTTGCTCCACCAAACGTAACAGACAAACCGCAAATAAAGTTAAAAAGTCCTCCAAGAGTGATTGTAACAGCAAGCGCGTCAGTCAGCGATAGCAATGGTAAAAGACTGAACTATACAGTTGGCAACGTTGTCAGTGCAGTTAAACCAATAGTTCCGATAAATTACGACGATTATAAAGAATCCGATCTTATTTTTGACCCATTCTTTCTTGATGTCCCAAAACTACAAAAGAGACGAAAAACTAGATCTAATAAAAATAGAAACATATTTACGGTTCCGTCTACAGTAACAGTAGCGTCCGAATTATTACCTGAAAAAACCACTGTCACGGTGTCGCCTATGACATCAAGAGCAACAACTACGCGAATAGCAGAACACCAGGTATCAGTAGCGACCACGACCGCCGTTTGGAACCCTAACGACTACGTCGATGACAACTACGAACCCCATGCCTACATTCCACCAGTACCACCACTAGCTGTGTTAGTGCCACACGAGCTGAATAAGTATAAGAAACACGATAGACTATCTAAGAATGATTTAGGTGAAAAAAAGACTCACAAAGATCACAAAACGAATATTGGTAATATCGAACAATCCAAGCCGACGTCGGCGTCTGCGCTGCAGACATACTCTAGTCATGTGGCGGCCGCGGACAGGGCGCCCACTGCCGCCTCGCCGCCGCCTGCGCCGCTACTCGAGGCGCCCGCTCCTGCGCCCGCCTGCGCCACCTCGCGCTCTACTCACTGTCGGACTCGTGCCTAATTAAATTAGCTCACTTTAAACGATAAATAGATAAATACCTAGTTACATATTTAGATAGGTAGAAAATTATAACAATTTTTCAGGCGCACTGTTAAGTCATCGATCGTAAGGATTTATTTTTAAAATAAATAAAATTGTGAAAATACAATCTTGAAAGCCTTGTTTGTGTCCTATTAAGAAAATCGTTTATTAAGCTCCCTTCGAATAGGTGCTAAGTTGATTCTAGAATCTAGATAGTACCTCTGATTGAATCAGTGTACCCTATAGTATATAAGTTTAATTAAAAAGATCCTCAACAACCTTTCGAACTACTTCGTACAATACGATACAAGTATACAACACAAATAATTATAACGTACATAGATATCTATTATAATTTTAGACCGGTTCGGACGGAGCTTTAGTATTTATGTTTTCTAATTATTTTAAACATTGTAAATATGTACCAGTTTCGATAAATTGATATAATGTTATTTTTAAATTTGTCATATCTTTTTATAAGTACCTACGGATATTTATGATGGAAACTTTGTAAATATCATAAAATATACTTGATGTTTCTATAGATGTTTTATTTTATTTTCTTAGTCGTAAATATAACCAATGGAAATGTGTCTGTCTGTATCTGGGTCTTTAATGTTTCTTGAAAAAATTCTTAAAAACGTTTTGTTTGTTGGTTTCTTCTCTACCCCTCATATCACAGTCGACTCCCAGGCAATGAGTCAAAATTTTCTCATAAAGTACACGCATATCTTGTCACCTTAAACCCCTTAGACTTTTCAGTCACTAAAGGTCAAATTTTATATCTTTTGACATAATTATAGAAGGCTAAATGATGTAGCGCATGGATAGAATTTATTATAAGGAACCCTTTTTTCAACGTCCTCCAGGGAACCTTTTCATCTTAACCAACTGTATTTTAGGAATCGAAACTAAAACTTGGCTAGAACATTAAATCGATTCTCAATAAATCGTAGTTTATTCTCGTCTCTTGGGGGTCACAGGCACGAGAATAAACTACAATTAGGGGCCCACTGGATATTTAAATCATTGGAAGATGAGAGTGTCCTTCATCAAATAAGTGTAAGTGTAAATAGTGAAACCAAAGTGAAACAGCTTGTTTTTAAATGTATTTGGCAAGTACTTGGAATGAAGGTAAATTAAAAGAGGTTGTACAATATGGATTATATAGGTCTATGTCAAAGTGACAGATTTGAAAAACCATCTCGATTCACATAATTTTATAGTTGAAAATATTTTTAGGTATTTGAATATATTATTTATTTAACAATGTCGTACCCTAAAGGGCAAAATATAATGAATGTTAGAGAAATCATTGAATTCGCTTTTGGCGATGTAGAGGTGAGTCATTCCCATATTAAATAGGAATATAGCATTTCGGCTCAAGTTTTTTGCGTTTTATGCTTTTACTGCTAAATATACAAATATAATGCTGCAAATGCACCGGACTGATGCTAAGGAGTCTCTTGCTAAGTCTGAATTTGGGTTAGTTCAAGGAAACAGTGAATAGGGTGCTTATGGTTAGCCATGTTCCAATATACGCGGCATCATTACTTGTAGGGATTTCAATTGCTAGATCCAGCATCCAATAACTCTGCTGGATCCAGCATCCAGGAAAGATAAAAAATGAAGTAGCTGGGTTAGATGTTTTTATACTGTTATGGTGTATATGATAAAGATACCACATACAATAATATATTATAATGTGTTCTGAGCGTTGCCGAGGAAAGGCTTTTAAATAAATGCTAGACAGCATGTGCCATGGCGTTAGGCACAGACAATGGAACGCGAATTGCTACGATTCTTACATATCTCTTTCACTTCCTCAACAGTCACCAGTCTTTTCAAGCATGCTCGTCGGTTAAGGGTCCTTTTAATTTGACCCTTTTTTAATATAGGCATCACCAATCTGGTCGATGTCGTCTAGGGCAGCCTCTACCGATGCGACGGTCCCATTCATATCCGCTCTGTATACTTCTTTCATAAAGCTACTCTATTCTATCCTTTCTACATATGCCAATTTCTATATATCAGTTTTATGCACATAACGAGCTGTTCCCCGCGACTTGGTCCACGTAAATGACTTCATACATGACAGAATTTGGATTTTTTAATTAATTTATCTTATCCTAGCTTAATTTCAATGCTGTGTAAAAAATCTCATCAAAATCGACCGGCCGACCGACGACCTACGTTATATATTCACATGTTTGCGAAATGAATTCATTTTAGTGATTTCAAAAACTAAACAATCCCACACAAGTTTTACTCGTATATTATCCATTCCCGCGTGGTTTCAGTGATTATAACTATTCTATGTCCTTTCCCGGGTTGCAAACCATTGTTGTACGAATATTAGTGGTTTATATAGTAGATAATAATATGAGTATTCAGCCTCTTTGTATACCTTAATGATAACATTATTGCCAAATAATGATCAAAAAAATGTCAAATAATATGGAAATATATAGATTTCATTTTTTTTTTATTTAAAATCACTGGTCCTGATACATCTAAATACTGTTTTTAGTCTTTGAAAATAGTTTGGCTTAAGCAATATAAGGAGATTTTTGGAAGTTTTTCACACATCGGGTTACGTTACGGTTCCTGTTTTTTTCTCCTATTAAATATAGCGTATGTTCATCAGGGATAATGTAGGATTCCAATGACAAAATAATTTTTCAAATCGATCAGGTAGTTTCGGAGCCTATTCTATTCAAACAAACAAACAAACAAAAAGTCAAATCTTTCCTCTTTTAGTGTAAAAGTGTAAATAAATTTAAATTTTTTTGTGTTCTAGGGAAATGCTGTGAATTTTAAACTTATTCAAACCGTACTTTTCTTGATTGCTAGACAATTAAGATTACTGGAAAGAAAGGTAGAGATTGAATTGGGACCCATAGCTTTTATACCCTCGGATACAACTTTGGCAGTTACTGAATATAAATTACATGCTGGACACAAGAAAAAAAGGAAACCTAGAGATGAGGGCGATAAAAGAATGAGCGTAGGAAAACGTGGTGCAAGCATTAGCTCTGATAGTGGCACTGGCTATGGTGGCGGTGGTGGTAGCGGCGCTGGTGGACCTGGTGGTGGCCTTGGCAGAAGGCGTAGTTATGGTGGTCCAGGCGGTGGCTACGGTGGACCCGGCGGTGGCCCTGGTGGAGGACCTAGTTATGGTGGACCTGGTGGTGGACCTGGTGGTGGTCCTGGCGGTGGCTACGGTGGACCCGGTGGTGCTCCTGGTGGTGGACCTGGTGGTGGACCTGGTGGTAGCTATGGTGGACCTGGTGGTGGACCTGGTGGTAGCTATGGTGGACCTGGTGGTGGTCCTGGTGGAGGATCAGGTTACGGTGAAACTGGTGGTGGCCCAGGCGGAGGGCCTAGTTATGGTGGACCCGGCGGTGGCCCTAGTGGAGGACCTAATTATGGTGGACCTGGTGGTGGACCTGGTGGTGGTCCTGGCGGTGGCTACGGTGGACCCAGTGGTGCTCCTGGTGGTGGACCTGGTGGTGGACCTGGTGGTAGCTACGGTGGACCTGGTAGTGGCCCTGGTTATGGTGGACCTGGTGGTAGTCCTGGCTCTGGCTACGGTGGACCTGGTAGTGGCTCTGGTGGAGCGCCTGGTTATGGTGGACCTGGTGGTAGTCCTGGCTCTGGCTACGGTGGACCTGGTAGTGGCTCTGGTGGAGCGCCTGGTTATGGTGGACCTGGTGGTGGGCCTGGTGGTGCACCTGGTTATGATGGACCTGGTGGTGGTACTGGCGGTGGCCACGGACCCGGTGGTGGTTATGATGGAACGGGTGGTAGAGCTGGCAGTGCGCCTGATGGTAGTTATGGTGGACAAGGTGGTGCACCTGGTGGAGGATATGCCGGACCTGGTGGTGCACCTGATGGAGGATATGGCGGACCTGGTGGTGCACCTGGTGGAGGATATGGCGGACCTGGTGGTGCACCTGGTGGACCACCTGGTGTTGCACCTGGTGGAGGGTACGGTGGACCTGGTGTTACTCCTGGTGGACCTGGTGGTGCACCTGGTGGAGGGTATGGCGGACCTGGTGGACCTGTTGGTACTCCTGGTGGACCTGGTGGTGCACCTGGTGGAGGGTATGGTGGACCTGGTGGTGCACCTGGTGGAGAGTATGGCGGACCTGGTGGTGGTGGTTATGGTGCCCCAGGTAGTGGAGCGAGTGGTGGTCCAAGTAGCGTCCACAGTGGAAGTTTAACTGGTGGGCCTAGTGGGCCACCTACTAGTCGAACTGGTGTTAACTATGGTTCGTCTAGTGGTGGTGGTCCTAGCACTGGAGCCCCAGGCGGCCCTGACAGTGCTTACAGTGGAGGATTAACCGGTGGAACTAGCACTGCCCCTGGAGGTGGTCAAGCTGTCGGACAATACGGTGCGCAAGAAGCAAACGCAGATAAAACTTCATCTACATATCCGGACAAATCTTTGTCATCGTATTCAGATAAAACCTCAAGCAAAGCCAGTAAAACTACGAGTAAGCGGCCGTCACGTACAAGTTCCTTACAAGATCAACAGCAAAAAATGAGCAAAACGAAGGTAATGCTATAATTGTACTTTGCTAAAAGTATTCGTCCAAGTATTTTGAAATGTATTAAGTAAAGTATTTATTGTTGTGAGCATAATAATAAAACAATGTATTCTGCAGCTACCCTTTCTACCCGATATTCTGGACGTCATAGAAACGCAACGAGAAAAAGAGCTTCGTGTAATTCATCAGGTGCAATAAATTTCATCGCATCAGAAAACATTGTTCATTGTTGTCTTTCTTTTTTAATTTGTTGTAGGTTTAGATGATTTATAACTATTTTTGGTAAGTATTGGACAAATAAATAACCATAGCGATCAGGTAAAAATAAAGAAATTAGGAAATAAGACAAAAGATAGAAAACTACATGTAATTAGTTTGTAGTCAATAATATACATAACTCGTATATTTACGATGGACAAACAATGATACCAACGATTGAAACATGTTAGCTGGTGTTAAAATGGTCTCAGGAATAGAAAACCTTACAAGCGTTTAGGTAATGTGTTCAGTACTAATTATGAACAACAATATTCATAATGCAAAATGTCACCTTAATAATCCAATTATTTCATGAAACTGCAGAGGGCCAATTCTTATGAAGAACGAGCGAAAACACCGACACCTATGGCCTCGGTGGGTTCTATAGGTATGTCATAATATTTAATAAAATAATATTATAAACATTAATATTTCATTATCAGATAACGTTTTAAATGTTTGCAGCTGAACAATATGAAAAACTTCTTGTTGGTAAGATTCTTATTACAAAAACAATAATTTATATTATAATTTAGACTTTTTTTATAATTAATATAATACTTTTTTAACAGTTGAAAGAGTACCGAGTAGAGAATCAAGGGGTGGAGGTAAGATTTGACAATTTGTTAATTAAGTTAAAAGCGCAATATGGTGACATAGACATTATGAAACATAATAAAAGTTGCATCGTTTTTCTATGAGCAGAGATTGTGCAAGGACAAGGACGTACCCCTCGCCTTTCCCTGGTAACTCAAGAACAGTTTGATAAATTGGCGTTGGCTATCCAGGAGCTACAAAAGAAGCTTTTGTCAGGCAGTCGAAAGTTTTCTGAACACGAAGGACTAATACAAGAACTCCGAAAAGATGCTTCGCTCGCAGATCCAATGGTAGCAGTACAACTTTCTGCTCGACTAGAAGCAGCTGAAAAAAAACTTGGAAAGATGCAGAAAATGGTCAATGAGTTAGTAAGTAGAAAAACATTAGCTGCTTTAGTAAGTTTTAACAAACTTGTAATAGACACTGTAAGTCTACTTGACATTAGATAGCTAAGTAATAAATCATAGCAATTATTAAATTTCAGCCGGTTACTGTACGCCATTATTATTATTACAGGGCAAGCGAGCAAACTATGATACACCTATTGGACCCTATAACACTGACGTATCGGCGTCAGATTATGACCCTAAATCTCAAAGCTTACGAAGTGGAGCTCCTGGTGGTCTTGGTACTTCACCAGGAGGTAGACCTGGAGCTACTTTTGGTGGACCCCAAACTGGCCCTACTATCACCGATGGATCGTATCCACCGGGTGGACTGACTGAACTCGATGAACTTGAAGCTACTGATACTTTTGATGGTGATGTTAAACGAAGGACCTTACCTGGTACTACTACTAAAGGTGGTCGTAAAAGTTATAAACAGGGGAGTTCTGCTACTCCTTCCGTAAAATCACAAGAGACTACCCGAAAATCATTATCTTCCGCTGGTGGTGCTTTTTCTTCCAGTACTACTCCTTCAACGACTGCAACTGCCACCGCAACCACCAATGCCACTACCACTTCCTACAGCCCTGGAAAATATTTAGAACCTAGTTCAATCCTAGATAAACCTCCTGAGTCTGATATGCTCCAAACCCAAACTACCGAGGAAGGTGAAGAATATGCTCTTAAATCTGATTATGTCACTTACAATGAATTGGAGTAAGTTATCAAATGCTTCGTTTTTTACATTTAAAGATAAGTCAAATCGGGGTCGATTCTTGTAAAAAATTTTGTTATTTTCACTCTAACATAACGGGTGAATAGCCTCAAATCTGGATATACTATGTATTTCAAAGTTTAAACATCACGACTAACCATAAAACAATGGTGATTAGCTCTTACAGACAAACAATTTTTTCTTGCTTTCTTGCCAAGCAATATAACCTTCGATTAAACTGTACCTAAGTAATATCACGAAATTTCCATTATTTCCAGCGCAGCAACACAAAAATTATATGACAACCTATTGAATATTTTATCACAAATAACAACGCGTACCACCCATAACGCTGAAATTGCATACAAACTTTCTATAAATTTAGGTAAAGCTGTGTTTTTTATGTTATTTGTTATAATATATTATTATTAGTAATCTGTGTAAGAAAGGCCTATATCATATTCCATACAGTGTACATAAACTATCCCTTCACTAACGGCATTTATTTCCACATAGTAGTAGACTAGTAGACTGTAGACTTTGCTGACATAATGTCTAGATAGAGCGTCACCATACAATAACAACAAAAATGACGTTCCAAAATTTCTTGCATGTGTGTGAGCGGCTTGTGGTTTACAACAATCTCCCATCAAATTTATATCTCCCATAAATATTTGGGTACTTGTACTGGTACAAGTACCCAAATATTTACTTTTAACATTTTTAATATTTACTTTACTAAAAAAAAGTATTGAATTTCATTTTACCGCCGCCATTTATAATTGTAGCACAATTTTATGGAGCACCTAGATTACATGCACCTAGTAACGCCTATGTGACACAATTGGTACTACTTGACGGGAAAGTGCATTGCAGTGAACAGTTCACTGCAAATTTTTGTGACGCTTTTCGTAAACTGGCACTCCATCTTGACATTATAAAACAAAGTATGTAGATTAGGAAAAAGACATTTCAGTTCATTAAAAGATTATAAACCTAGGTAGTAGCTACTAGGAGTAGAGGCTAGGTAGCTACTTATGTAACTTACTAATCCCATTACTAAATTTTAAATAGATGCAAAAATCGAGGTTGCATTAGCTGCCGCCGCTCGTATGTCCGATTTGGAAGATTTGGTCAAACAATATTCCGATCAAATAAATGCACTTGATACGGGGCTCTCCTCTCAGGTAACAACCGTTTTATTCAAAGGTACTGTGATGAATGTTGCAACTTGCAACATAAACAGTGATGTCACAACCTTTACCTACCGGTACTCCTAAACAAGTTGTGTCTGCATTGTACGTAACTCCCTTTTGTGCTATTTACGGAACATATTTTTTTACACGCGGTTTTAGATGACGAACTACCAAGAACAAATATCGCAAATGCAACATGATTTAGAAACTGGATTAGAGAATATGGCAGAAAGATTAGGCAACACTGGCGGGGATACAGCAGGTATTTATTAATGTTAATAATTTGCAACACTGTAGTCTACAGACCATCAGTACAATGTTCAACTTCGTTGATCGCCTATCTTTTATGAAGTTATGTAACACTCTCAGTCTTTTCCGGTGAAATTGAAATTGAACATTATCGTATTTTTGACTTATAGCGGTGACAGAGCTGAATTCTCACTTCACGGCCCTTCAAGTGGATTTCGAGAATATGTTAGTTCGACAGAAGGATTTGAAAGATTCACAAAATTCTGTAGCTTTTGATCTCGAAGTAAGTAACCATTTACGTTCTAGTTAGATAGTTCTCACATACCTACTTATTACTATATACTACTTATGACTAATAAGAAGAATAGATTACCCAACACCAAAACGTTTCCTACTAGTCTTGGCATTGGGTAATACAGGACTTTTCCTACATTATTGACATTAACTTCTTTATTTTTCGACTGCACGATTGGTGCAGTATCGTAATGTGTGGTGGGTTCGTTTACCGCACGAAACAACTAATAGGTAAACAACTAATAGGTGTCTTTTTTTTTTTTTTTTTATTTTAAGGGGGGAAAATCATCGAATGACTGCTCCCGCCTGGGTGAGGCGGAAGGGAGTGTCAGACTCTTACTGACTAAAAACCACCCCGTTCCTTCTCCTGCACGTCGAGCCGGAGCCCCGGTTACCCGTTAGGTTCTCCGCGACTCCGAATCGGCATCGGCCCTATTGGGCCCCATCTGTGGTGGTCTGATGGCTCTTTGAGGCGCGCGCGGAACGCGACGCGCCGTACGCTCGGGTCTGTTTCTGGTCGGACGGGGAGCCACCCATGCTCGCCGTCCGCAGGCCCGCGCTTACGGTGGCCGGAGATCGTCCCGCGATCCCCGACGCCCGGTGTGTCCTTCGCGATGGCTGGGTTGCGAGGAGGCAGCGCTTCGCTGCCTCACGCGTCCCGCCTCCTCCTTAGCTAGCATGACTGCTTCGCAAAAGGAGGAGACGGCATCCCAGTCCCCCTCGCTCCGCATCATGGCCTGCACTAGGCCCGGACGCGAGAGGTCGCCATCGCCGATCACTTCCCCGAGGGCACGGCGGTGCTCAGCCCACGCAGGGCATTCTCCCACTGTGTGTTCCACCGTGTCCTCAGGGCGGTCCTCGCAGTGATGACACCCGGGCGTTTCCTCCCGCCCCATCAGACACAGGTACCTCCTCCCGAAACTTCCATGTCCGGTGAGGACCTGCGTCAGGCGGTAGGTGAGGACGCCGTAGCGTCTCTCAAGCCACTCCTCAAAGAGGGGTCTTACCGCTGCAATGGCAGCGAGCCCAGCCCTCGGTTGCGACAGTCGTTGCTGCCATTCCGCCATGAGATCGCGCCGGAGCTCATCCCGCCACGCACTTATCTGGCGCGGCAGAGGAGTTTCGCCCCGGCGACGTGCCTCCGCGCGCATGCGATACACGCGCGCGAGCACCTTCGCCTCCAGATCCCACGGCGGTGATCCGGCAAGGAGGTTCGCCGACTCCCCGGAGATCGTGCGGTATCCGCGGATCATTCGGATCGCCATGACCCTCTGTGACATGAGCAGCGTCCGAGCAGGACGCCGCAACAAGTTCGGCGCCCAAACAGGGGCGCCGTAGAGGGTCATGGACCGCACGACCCCGGCGTATAACCTCCGGCAGGAGGCGTTTAGCCCCCCGAGGTTGGGGAGGATGCGCTTAAACGCAGCCCCCGCCCTCGCCAACTTTGGAGCCAAACGTCGGAAGTGCTCCACGAAGTTCCACCGACTGTCGAGGACGAGTCCCAGGTACTTCATCGTCGTCTCGACGCCGATGGTAACCCCTCCCGCCATTATTTGGGACCCACCCGGAGGTGGCGCGTTCCCGCGGCCATGAAAACACATGGCCTCGGACTTGTGGAGCGCCACCTCGAGTCCCAACTGCCGGATTTTTTCAACGACTGTCGCAACCGCTGTCGCCATTAAATCGGCCGCCGCCTGGTGCGACCTCCCGTGCGCTAGCACCAGCGTGTCGTCGGCGTAGCATATTGTGCTAACGCCGTTCGGGAGGTCGGTGCGCAGCACCCAGTCATAGCCGATGTTCCACAGGAGCGGCCCCAGAACCGAACCCTGCGGAACACCGCGTGACATCTCTCGCCGGTTCCACTCGCCCCGGTGACCGGGTAGCTGACGGACCTGTCCGTCAGGTAAGCCTCGATTACACGACGGAGGTAGGTAGGCACCCGATGATATCGGAGTGCCTCCAAGATGCAGCTCCAGGGCAGGGAGTTGAAGGCGTTGGCGATGTCCAGAGACACCGCCACTACGACCTTACCCCTGGACACTGCAGTCCCCGTCGTGAGGTCTCTAACGCGCATGATGGCGTCCACCGTGGAGCGCCCTCTGCGGAAGCCGAACTGGCCGTCCGACAAGTCCGGCCCAATGTCCGTCAGGTGCGCGACGAGGCGGTTCGAAATGATTCTTTCGAAGACTTTCCCCACCTCGTCGAGCAGCACTATGGGCCGGTACGCAACTAATAGGTGTCTAATACCTACTTAGTAGCATATTTCATTAATGTCCAAATACAATTTTGAGTTGCGCTTAAGTATAATTCTACTTATGTTACTACAAATTATTACTGTCATTTTGCAATTAATTTGTAGTAACATAGAATTAGTAGGAAAAGTCCTTTTAGATAACCTTCTGATTTAGCCTCTAATTATAAAATATAATTCCAATGTCAGAATTTATGGAAAGAAATAGAAATGCTTCGGGATACGAAATCAGACCGTGAAGAAGTAACTGATGCGCTCCGTGATAAAGCGGGGATTGGTGAACTCAACGGTCTTGTTTCTTTGCCACAATTCGATGCTGTACGAGGTGAAATTGAAAAGCGTATAGGTGCAGCATACGATAAATTTAATAATCAAGAAACTGTTTGGCAAGTACGTGATACATTTATTTTTAACTTTAAAAAAACATACAGAGCCCCTACTCGATTAATGTTGTACTGAATAATATTGTTAATTACACAATTACAGAAAGCTATAGATGACCTTATAAGAGATCTAAACGAAAAAGCTGATATAATTCAAGTAGAATCTCTAAGAGATGAAATTGCTAAATACATAAATAAAATGAAAGAACGCATGCAATTCATAGAAGACATTGTGGGAGATCCAAAAAGTGCGATGCTATCTAAGAAACTATTCCGCGACGCCGCATGTCTATCTTGTGGTAGCCCGGCACACATGGACCAAGAAGAACCATTTTCCATCCCTGCTCTACCTAAATTTCCCTCAAACAGACAGCCAGGTGAAGGAGCTGAAGCTGAGACGACAACTAAGGGAGGAGGGGATCATGAAATTTGTTATAAAGATTTTGTCATACCGCACCCGAGAGATCCAAGGTACGGAAAGTTTGATATTGTGAAATATCATCCCCATGACTAGGACTAAGAAAGCACTCACAAACTTTGATCACATTATCATTTTTAAAGCTCTAATATTCGTGAGTAGGTAGGTACTTACGAGGCAGTACTGAAACGCTATTACCTACTTATACTTACTCAATTGTCTTATGAACAGGTCACACATATGTCAGCGGTACTGTGGCGGCTCTCACACTTTGGTTACCGAAGGACCGAGTCGAATTCCTCCTGGCATGCTCGTACAACAGTCCGTAAAACCAACGACTACAATACAGGGCACGGATGGAAAAGTACGAACATTATGTCTTAGTTATTAGGTCATGCTAAAATGGTTTAGACAAAATCTTTTGGTAGTTCTCTAATTGCAAAAGTTCGTCAGATTTAATGTCACCAATATTTATTATGGTGTGGGATTAAGAGTACTTACCTATTTAAAACCTTCATTTTGTTTGATAAATAATAATTAGCCATATATTCGTTTCAGACGTATTTGATGGATGAAGAACCTATAGAATTAAAAATACCATGCAAGCCATGCAACAAGGCAAAATCGCCATTTGATAGAGGTAATGATGATATTAGTGCTTTGCTTAATAAGGATAGGAACAAGTAAACAGATCACCTGTAAGCAATCAGCAGCGCCACAACAGTTACAAATGCGTTGTCGGCCGGGAGAGGGATTAAACTGAGCCTTCGGTAAATAAGTTCACTCAGTCAATGAAACAAACGTAAGCGCTCTTACACGCCATTTTTCTGCGAGGATGAACTCCGGTAAATCGAATTTTTCTGGACCAATCTAAGATTAGATAAGATTTACCTATTAGTGTGGATTTGAGATCAATATCGGCTTTATTAACTACTTACCTATCAAACTACAATCTTATTTTTTATTTTAAGGTAATACAAATTGTGAAATTGGAGATACTTCCATGACTACGCCAGAACACGACATGACATCTTAGGAAACTATTTACCTACTTTACTTTCTTTCATTTAATACAATTATTATTCGTTCTTTTTCTGCGCTCTATTGTTATTCATAATAAAAATATTCTACATAATAACGTGCTTTTTATTTATCAGATTTGTCAGCAATTAAGATTTATTGCACGTAAAAAGTCAAACACGTTCGATAAGATAACTTTTAATTTTAAGTAATTTGCCTCTTTTATCAAATGACTGATTACTTATCTATTATTTATGAAGGTAAATAACGGCCCTGTTTATTAGGAGGCTAGGCTGTTCAATTAAACGGTTGATTTAACTAATTGGCACTTGTCAGCCTATGATATTATGCTTAATGCATCCCAATACCTATTCTATTTTTTTTTTTTTTTTGTTATTTTCCATTCCAGTAGTGAGTAAAACGGTGAATAGAAAATATATTTTTTATAGTGTAGATATTATATTATCCATGATATTACGATAAGTTATAATTATAAAATTATCAATTAACAGTAAGTACGACAGCAATGTTAAATTAGGCATCAAAAACAACATTAGATTTATTATTTTTTCAGTATTGGCAAAAATATTGTTTTCTTTCTATGGGTTTTCTGACCACAGATCACAGTTACCTAACTGTCATAATTGACAGGTGACAATCCATTTTGACGTCTGACGGTCTGACGCAAGTCAGGAATGTATTGTGGAACAGGGGTTATGATGAACAGATGAACTGCTGTATAATTAAATAATTATCATCTGTTGTATTGAAATTGTTGTTTTAATAAGGTAAACGATATCGCTGATAGTATTTTCATTTTATTACACACGGGATACGTAAATTTAATAAAACTTCCAGGGAATCACACGTCTGCAAAGATGCATAAAATACTAGAGTTTCAAGCTGTTGTACTGGCTGCGGGCAGAGGATCCAGGCTGCCTGATGTCGGTGGTTCTGTTTCTAAGTGTTTGTTACCTGTGGGACCGTACCCTGTCGTGTGGTACTCATTAAACTTATTGGAGAAAATTGGATTTCAAGGTATGCTCTTATTATCATTAAATTAACTGTATTTTATTCTTAAAGAATCATCTTCGTGTTTGTCATTAAATACAGTACTACTGTCTGATACAACTAATAAGTATCTTACACAAAGTGATAGCATTTTTACTAATAAAATTATGTATTCTTTACAGAAACATTGGTAGTTGTACTCGACGAAGACAAGTCAAACATTCTGAATGCCTTAGAAAAATGTCCTCTAAAAATTAAATACGAATTAATAGTTATCCCATCAGATGAGGATTGGGGCACAGCTAACTCACTGAAGCACATCAGTAGTAGAATAACCACAGACCTATTGGTGATCTCTGGAGATCTTATAACTAATATTAATCTAAATGAAGTGTTGAATGTTCATAGAAAATATGACGCAGCTCTTACAACCCTATTCTTTAACAATGGCCCGGAAGAATGGATTGAGCTCCCCGGACCTAAAACTAAAGCTAAACCAGACAGAGATCTAGTGTGCATTGATAAGGAAACACAAAGACTTGTGTTCTTAGCCAGTGCTAGTGACTTTGAAGAGAATATTACAATACCCAGAATGTTATTGAAGAAATTTGATTCAATAAGTATGTATAGCCGACTTCTGGATGCTCATGTGTATGTAATGAAGCACTGGGTGATCAACTACCTTGTGGAGTCGGACAGATTCACATCAATCAAAGGGGAACTTATTCCACACATAGTCAAGAAGCAACTGTCCAAGCCTAAAAACCCTTTGGAAAAGAAAGGAACTTCAGAGAAAAATGTTGAAATCACTAAAGATATATTTGATTATGCTGTTGAGAATGGTTATGAGAGCAAGATTAGAGAGATGACAGCATACAATGACCATAGACTAGGCAGTAAGGGTGTATTCTACAATGACTTGCTACGCTGCTATGCTCATATACCAGACAAGGACACATTTGGTATAAGAGTAAATACATTGTCATCGTTTTATCTGTCTAATAACAAGGTAATATTTAAAAAGAAAACATTATTAACTTTCTAATATTTTATTATTCAACTAGCGACCCGTCCTGGCTTCCCACGGATGCAATATGCATGTATTATACATACATAATATAAACCTTCCTCTTGAATCACTCAATCTATTAAAAAAACCGCATCAAAATCTGTTGTGTAGTTTCAAAGATTTAAGCATACAAAGGGACATAGGGACAGAGAAAGCGACTTTGTTTTATACTATGTAGTGATAATTATTAATAGGAAAATTATCAATAACTTAATTTTTTACTTTAAGATTAATTTAAATTATAAAGTTATTATTTAACTGTTACTTGGCTTCTTATACATAACAAGGCAATTCCATAAAACATCAGTAGATGAAGTAAAGGTTTGACTGTTTTTCATTTCAGATCTTGTCTAAGTGGGAAGAGCTGACAGGTACTCCATTAACGGAAAGATTCCACCCAGATAGTGATGTGAAAACAAAACAAATAGATGAAACCAGTACAGTCGGTGAGAAAAGTCTTGTCAGCGAGAAGACATCTATCAAGAACACATTCATCGGTGCCAACTGTACTATTGAAAACAAAGTTAGATTGGCTAACTGTATATTGATGAACAATGTTACTATTAAAGAAGGGTAAGATAGTTTTATTTATTTATTAACAATAATAATACAATAACTTAGTGACCTAAAGAGTTGAAAGTTGTATTATGTGCTTTACTTTACTTAGTTACTTCTCGAGTTTGTAACTAGATGGCGCTACGAGGCGAATATTTTGTTGACTATAGTCAGAATTTTAATTAGATTCCAGATTTGACAATAGCTACTGTCATTTTGTGAAATAATGATACCACATATAATAGTGTAGTGATGAACACAAAAATCGATAAACAATCAGTGTGTGTGTTTTATAATAAATGTTACAGAAAGTGACAGGATAGCGATAGCGATGACGGCGACAATTTATAAAATAACTTATTACCATAATACATCTATCTGTTTTATTTGTCATGTTCCTTCATGATTACATTTTTTTATTTATTCCACACACAATTATAAAAGAAAAGTCTCAGATCGTTAATTAATCGTCAAAACTAAATTATCGATTCAGAAATTTTAATTTCCTGATATAATTAGTTTACTAGAGTAAAATTATAAACGAGAAGAATCGATCCAGACAAATTGCATTTCCATATCGAATAATTTTGCAACGTCACTATTTAGTACTTTTCATAACGTTGTAACACTGAAATTGTCAAATCTGGAATCGAATTAAAATTCCGAGTATAGTAATAAAATTTTAATGTGCATTTCATAATAGGAATGTTTCTATCTTATTAATAATTTATTTGTTCAGTATTTTTTATTATCTAATTATAATAAGTATGAAACAAGACTTGGCCTTTGCAATGTTAATTTACATCAAAATAAGATTAAGAATTGTTATAACAACCAACCATTATTTATTTCTACAGTTGTGTTCTACAAGACTGCGTAGTGTACACTGGGGCGACGGTGGACACTGGTTGCAACCTACAGTACTGTCTGGTGGGCCCACATCATGACGTCGCAGCCTCGACTACCAGCAACCATCAACTACACGCCGAGACCACTGACAATATGATCACACTCGGCTAATATTTTTACTGAATGTACAAAACAATAAACACTTTATAGTTTATATTATATACATAAATGTGAAATGTGTATTGTATCTTTGACTTTTTGGTCAGTATAGTTTGTTACCAGTTGAGATAGTTTCCACTTGTTAATAGTATCTTATAAAGTAACCACCTGTAGTCTAGGCTTCTTTATTTACTAACTTATTCACATCATATGGTTATTGTATGTTTAAGTAGGAAACACATCCAGTGGAAATTATACCATTTTTATGTAATTGGATAAGCCGGTAAACGAGCAGACGGATCACCTGGTGGTAGCAATCGACGCCACCCATGGACACCTGAAACATCAGAGCGTGTGTTACAAGTGCGTTACCGGCCTTTTGGGAATTGGGAATTCGAGGATTATTGGGGAATCTGGGATTAGGGAGACTAGGGGGGGTAATTGGGCCTCCGGTAATCTCACTCACACGACAAAACACAACGCAAGCGTTTGTTTCACGTCAGTTTTCTGCGAGGCCGTGGTATCGCTCCGGTCGACCCGGCCCATTCGTGCCAAAGCATGGCTCTCCCACACTTAGACCATCAACATACAAATGTGTATTTTGTGTGTAGCATTTAATAACAAAATCTAGTTTAGGCCTATTTAGTCAATGCACGCCAATGTCATACGCACACAAAACAAGTGTGACAAGAAATAAACTAAATTGCAGTGTTACCTAACTAATTAATTGGAACAATTCACACGTTAACGTCGCTCTGTGTCACGATAAATTGTAACTATAGCGATGAAGTAGGTACTAGTATTGTGGTTCTTGTAGGTTTAGAAAGAGTTATCTAACCCAACACTAATCAACCCAATTAATCAATATTAATACTAAATACCTACAATCGTCGCGTCTTTATTCCATTCCTTTGATTGAAGAATGAAGACTGAACATAAATCTTCAATTTCATCGTGTCTGTTCATCAATTGCAGTTATTAACTTTATGTACAATTATGTAAGTTCAAAACAAAACCCACTCGTTTAATTCGGTAGTTCAAGAACATACGACGAACAACGTAGTTCAACACTCACAGAAAACCGACGTGAAGCAACGCTTGCGTTGTGTTTCGTCGTGTGAGTGAGTTTACCGGAGGCCCAATTACCGTCCCCTTCCCCAATCTCCCCAATTCCTGAATCTCCAAAAGACCGGTAACGCACTTGTAACGCCTCTAGTGTTCCAGGTGTCCATGAGCGACGCCGATTGCTTACCATCAGGTGATCCGTCTGCTCGTTTACCGGCTTACGCCATAAAAAAAACATTATCTTAAAACTATGGTTTGTTAAGACTTAACTGCTGGCGACAGTATGAATGTATTTATTGATTTTTTTTCAGCCATGATCGTCCCACTGCAGGGCAAAGGGACGAAGGTAGGTAGGCACGAAGTATAACTTTTAAAATACCTACTTACGTAGGTATATCTTTTTTCTCTGAAGTGAAGTGAAGGACATTTTCTTTCTATGAAATCATTATTTTGTATATTCTTTCACACCTATTCAGAGATAATAAGCTTAATACACTCAAAAGATTAGCAGGTAGGCATTATCTAGAGTAAGTAGGTACCTATCTAATCTGTAAAATACAGGTATGAAACATAGAGGTAGTTAGGAACCTACCTACAGTCGAAAGTAGAACCTAATTTTACTGACAACCCATAGCCATAAGTGAAGTTTTCACAGAGACGTTAATTAGACATACATACCTAAGTAGTTCTTAAAATAATTATTGGTACCCACAGGTTAACCTACCTTATACTTAGGAATCTTAATTTAATATATAGGATTCGGAGTCGCGGAGAACCTAACGGGTAACCGGGGCTCCGGCTCGACGTGCAGGAGAAGGAACGGGGTGGTTTTTAGTCAGTAAGAGTCTGACACTCCCTTCCGCCTCACCCAGGCGGGAGCAGTCATTCGATGATTTTCCCCCCTTAAAAAAAAATACTTAGGAATCTTAATAAATGTACTTACCTAATAGCTAATGGCTAACACTGACCTTTCCTAATATGCAGCCATCAACGCCATCTGCCTAGAACAATCTTCTAATGTTGACACGAATTATTTAGAGAGTGTGATAATTCTGATTCGAAGACACGTATTTATTACCACTCACATAAATTACTGAATTGGGATATGATAATAATACTTATTTGTAAAGTACCTAAGATTGATTATAAGGAAAACAATTATATCCAAGAAATTGTACCTATAACCTACCTACTCCAAGGCATACTAAACACAGAAGAGGACCTCGGGTCACAGACCATCGAGCTTTCGAAGGCATACACACAGAAACCCAGACTCTAGAATAATGTACCTAATTGTGCCTTTTCACACGTACCGGCGTAATTTGTAGTATACACTGCGCTGCCGGGTAGGCGGGTACCTACCCGGCACCGGCTATCCGGCAACTGGAACGTGTGAAGAGGCACCAACAATTATAATAAAACACTGCAATAAAAATTGGCATCGACCATACAAACTATGATATCTAGACAAGTGAACTTAGAACTAGAATTCTTCACTACTCAAAGACGAACACGTCCAAAGGAATTCCAAAAATATGCAGCTCAATACATCTCCTAACCAACCCATCGGCAAGCTTTCTCTTTAAAACCTCCAAGGAATGCAAGGAGCCAACATTTTTTGTTTCACCTTTCAAATCTTAATTGAGAACAGGTATCAATTACTGCACATATTAGTATATCTATAGTTAAATCAAAAAGCTAAATAGAACGCAAATTGTAGGCAGGTGCGGTAATCAAAGAAATGTTATGTAACTGTTGCGATGCATCCGACGCCAGTAGCATAAGACCTAGTATGTAGAAATAGGTATTCCAGCACCTCAACCTACCCGAAACTGTGAGATTAAATTAATAGATTTTCAACTTTATTTTAAAATCTTAAGGTTGAAATCTATTAGAGAAAGAGGGGTAGTGTGATAGGTCAGTCACCAAGTATCGTAACTAGCAGGTCAAAGTACTAAAAATGTTGTGTTTTATTATTATTGCCTTTAATTGCTATAAACTGCCAATGAGTTTCATTATCACGCTCAATGACTCGTTAGTAGGCTAGAATAAAAAAAAAATTGATTTTACTACCTAAATAACTCAGATACATATGTAACGTAACATCCGCCTATATTCGGAATCGTAAACATTGGACTAGACAATTATTGCCAGTGCTAATAGATATGAGCAAATCCATTGGTTGACTAGTTGTACAACCCTAACTTAAGTAGCTAACTTGCTTTTCCTGCCGAAAAATATTCAGGATATCAATAAAATGTTCACCCTGAAACCTGAACGAAATACTAAGTATATACCTATATTATATGAGTAACCACTTAACCCAAGCGTGTAAGCTTGACGACAACGCTTTTTGTTGTACCTGTCTAGGCGATTGTTTTTAATTACCATAATTTTGTATCAAGTACCTGATATAACACCTAATAATAAACATTAAAATCTTTTAGCATTCACTCAACTATATAATTACAGCAAAAAATGCCAGAAATCGTGATTACCTATCCAATTCAATGTTTGTAATCACGATATTTAGAGTCTGTCTAATAAGCAGGTTGCAAATAACATTAGAAGAAGAAAGTCTAATATGATGTTAATTATACATGCTTAACATCACGCCTTCTATTCCCCTAAAGATGCAATTCCATGTTATGCAATATTGGCTACATACATCGACTTTTCACTAGTATATAAGAGCGATTTTTGAAATTTCCCTAATCGAAAATCTTAATAGATAATTGTCTGGGTTAATAAATTCGGTGGTTGAGCTCAAGATTCCTTGTTTGGCAGTCGCAGCGCCCGGCCAAATCTATTGTTACTTAATTACCTGTCGTGCTTGCTATCTAAAGTAGAACATGCCCAATTACCCCCTCCCTAGTCCCCGTCTCCCGAATCCCTGAATCCTCCACAATCTTCAAATTCCCAATTCCCAAAAGGCCGGTAACGCACTTGTAACGCTTTGGTCTTTCGAGCGTCCATGGGCGGCGCCGATTGCTTACCATCAGGTGATCCGTCTGCTCATTTACCGGCTTATGCTATAAAAAAAATGCAGAATACCTACATCTTAAAAACTTCACAATAACAAGTAAATCAAAACAAATTATAAGAGCATATCCATATTGTTACCTAATTAGGTATTTATAAGTAGATAGTTACCCAATTAATAATTTCCGGTTATATTAATCCGATATTATCATAATTGTACAATCAGAGTTATAATACATTTCTCCATACACCTTAATCAACAATTCAATTAGGAAGTATTAAAGTTTATTGAGACGGTAAAAATGAATATTAAAAAACGATCAGAAGTTGTGACCTAACCAAAATTTTGCAATTTTTGACTGCAGACTGGCGCCATTTATCAGATTGTTGCAACAAATTATTGGACATTGCGTGCCAACGGGTTGGGCTAGACAGATAATAGCTGTAGCAATATATAGAAGGTACCTACGTGTTATATAACAAACACTGGCATTTAATAGCAAAAATACTGGAAGTGATAACACCGACTGCATTGCGTGCGACCGCGTAATTTGCCGAATAAATCTCTCGTCTTCTTTGCATAATAATAATTACGTGTGCCCAAGTCTTACGAGATAAATAGGACTATCTCAGATTGCCTTTACGAAACACGTGCAACATGCAGATGCATATCTACTCTTGAGAAATTATAACAAGACTTATAATAACTTTGTAGTCGTGCTCCGATCTCACAGGAGCACTAAAGATTTTGAAACAGAAGCTGGAAGTAGAAGCACTTCTTTATATCTGTTAAAACCTACATGTATATATTGAAGGTCCTTTGTTTGGTAAAACCAAGAGTAACTTTCCACGGAATCTGATCCTCAATTGCTTTGAGATAGTTACGTTACTTTGAAATACATACTGAGATACTACACTTTGACACTTAGATAAAGAAATTAATTAGGTAGTCGTTCCTAACTTCT